CTGATGCAGCGCTGTGCTCTTCTTGCCATGCCCTTCCCAGCCCCAGTGTCCCTGGAGTTTTCTGGCTCTCTGAACTCTAACTTTAATAGCAACTATGAGCTGAGGTCACTGTCTGAAAGAGCAAAGCCCTGTACAGTGCCTGAAGTCCTCTGCCAAACAGAGGGGACAGGATGAAATGGTTAAACAAGTGTTTCCCTTCCCCTATTCCATCCATCACAAAAAACACAGTCCTAGAGTGAAAATAAACATGGCTTTAATGAGAACAGGTTTTAACAGTTCACAAAGTAACTCCAAGTATCTCTTTATCTACCATTTAAAATCAGTGCCATCAATATCAGATGAGGAGAAACTCAAACATGCATTGAAGTAGTAAGCCAGACCTCAGCTGGGGTGTTACTGTGTATTTTCCTCCCTCTAACACCCCACAGCAACTGCTCCAAAAGGCACAGAGGAGCTAAAGTGGGTTTTTTTTTTTTGTTTTTTCTTTACAAAAAACACAAGACAAAAAAACCATTGCAAAATTCCCAAGCACCCAGAATCTGAAAGAATAGTGCACAGTGTAACAAGGCAGGCTGAACTTGCTGCTGTTCTCTTAAATGTGCAGAATAATTAAAGAAAGCTGCTACTGTAAACATCTGCCCAGCCACACAAAGCAGCAGAACCCAGCTGAGGGCCAGCAGGCATCAAGGGGGAGAGGGAACAAGCTTGGCCCTGTGCAGTAACTGTGCCCCTGCCACAAGAAGGGCATGTGGTGCTCTGGCAACTACAGCAGTTCTTGCAGCCACTTTTTTTCAGTAATAGCAGCACAAATGCAGCAAAACTGTCACCTGAATAAGGACTAAAACCCCTCTGCTTGTAGCTCTTCAGACAGAACAGCCACTCCTGTGCATCTCAGCCAACATGTAAAGAGTCCCTGAGGCCAACATAGTTAGAGGCAAGTTGACTTCAACCAGGAAAATGAACCTAAATGCCTCTTGGGGAGGGGCACTAAAGCTATGCATGATCACAGAGCCAGCTGAATAGAGTTTCATACAGATTATGTCTTAGCAATCACTGTGCTGTACAGAACCTCAGCGATCTCAGCAGTACTGGAAGATAGATAGATTTAACAGCAATCCTGCATTGACTGGTCCCTGTATCAACAGCAGAAGGGAGAAAGCTTTTCTCTGCAGTGGAAAAGCAAGCTTTCCTGGTTGCTTGGTTACCCTAGGCTCTGTTCAGTTCTTGCAGTAATCTCAGTGCAGCTGTGTTCTTTGGTTCAGTTTTCAACAAGCTCTTGATGTCAGCAATACTTGATTTGTAATCCTAGAAAGAGAATATTTTATATTTTTATTTCATTAATAATTTATTTCATGTATATTTTATTTCATTAATATGAAATGCTAGAAGGTGAAGGGCTGTTGAATTTGCAAGCAACTCTGACATGGGAAGAGATGAGAATCTTGACTCCATGTTTCAGAAGGCTGATTTATTATTTTATCATATATATTATATTAAAAGAAAATTATATATTAAAACTATACTAAAAGAATAGAAGGATTTCATCAGAAGGCCAGCAAGCAATAGAAAGGAATGAGACCAATCAAAGATGCACCTGTTGCATTCCACAGCAGATAATTCTTGTTGATATTTCATTTCTGAGGCTCTCAGCTTCTCTCAGGAGAATACATCCGTGACAGAAGGGGTAGTGCATTAAAAAAGTCTAAGGCAGAACTACTGCCCAGCAACAGAGGCAGAGACAGCACAGTGAAGCCTGTGGCTCCCTCTCTGTGACTGCTCAAGCACTGGCATTGATGTAGCTATTCTAAAACCTGTTCAAACGAGGGCTGAAATGATAATTTCATCACACAAGTGCATTCTGAGTCCAACACCAATGCAATGTGTACTCCAGTACTGATTCCTGCATTCCTCGTGAGACAAAAAGATAAAGCTCAACACAACCCTGGTCTCTGTGGGGACCAGGGACAGGATCTGTGGGAAGGGCCTGGAGTTGTGTCAGAGGAGCTTTGGGTCGTGTATTAGGAAAAGGCTCTTCATGCAGAGGGGGGGTGGGCAGTGGAACAGGCTCCCCAGGGATGTGGTCACAGCGCCAAGCCTGACAGAGCCCAAGAAGTGTTTGCACAATGCTCTTGGTCCCAGGGTATCATTGGTGGGGATGGTGCTGTGCAGGGTGAGGAGCTGGACTTGAGGATCACAGTCTGTGATTCTGTGAAAAGCAGTTGCCTTCAGCATTTCTAGAAATAAGACTTAATGCTGATAAACTCATGAGATTCAAACAGCAAAGTGTGATGTCTGACTCTTAGTCCTTAAAGGTCTGATGGCAGAGGGTGTCTAGCACAGGAACAAGTCCTAAAGGGTATCTCTGGCTCTGATCATGCAGCAACAGCCATCTAGTCCTAGCCTAAAGCCCTGCAGAAACTCCTGACTTACCTTCAGCTCTTTAAGTGCTTGAGCACGCCTGTAGAGTGCCTTGACATTCTTAGGATCCACCTTGAGAGCTTCAGTGCAGTCCTGTGCTGCTTCCTTGTATTGCTTCAGGGTCAGGTAACAGAGAGCTCTGCAACACACACACACCTTCTCAGAGACCTTTGACAGCATCCAGAGCCACAACAGAGCCAGGGCAGCACAGAGCTGGCCTCCAAAACCATCTTCGTGTGTTGTGTCATTTATTCTGGAGCTCAAGTTTGTGTTATTTACAGGGAGGGAAAAAAGGAAATGGTTTTTCAAAGAAACAAAAAGGAAGATGTTTAGAGCAACCTGCCCTAAAGACAAAGTGCACTTGGAGGATGCAGGTTCCGGCCTCTGCCAGTGCAGCACCTGCTCTGCCTGCTGCAACTGCCTTACAAGTACTTTGAGTGTTTAAGGACAGCAGTTTGAGGTTTGTAGGAGAGGAGAGACCACTCAACATACCCTAGTCCTGTCAGACAAAGCAGTCAAGGGAGAAATGCCCTGGCAGCCCAGAGGGGAGTGTCTCCAAGGGGTTCTGTACTACCTGATCAAAGAATGTTACACCACAGGGGAGGCTGCACTTGGGGTGAACCTGAGAGGGTGGTTTTGTTTTATTCATTAGTTTGGGAGCAAATATTAAACAGTTCTGCCAGGAAGTGCCATGGTGGTTTTTATACAGGTCCAAGAAATAGTTGGGCAAAGAGCTGAACAGTACCTGTTGGTGTAAGTTGCACATTCCTTGTTGAGCTTTAAACTCTCAGTGTACTTCTCTACTGCTTTTTTATGGTTTCCTTTCTTCACTAATTCATTTCCTTCTTCCTTAAGCACTCTAGCTCTCTCCATGCCAGCTGCAGTGTTGTCTGGAAATGGTGTGAAAGGATACAGAACTCTATAAAACCAACAAGAATACCACAGCCTCACAGAAAACAAATATCCCCATACCAGAGGCAAGACACACAGACATCAAAGAAACCAGAATCAACCAAAAAGGCTGTGGCAGAACCAGGCCTGGGTTTCTCCAGGCCTCAGCCCTGGCTGCAGACACACCAAGCAGGTGTGGCAGCTGTCTTGGTCATCACCCTTGGGAGCTACAGGGCTCTCTGCCCAGCCCAAGGGCACGTTCCCACCTCCTTCTCCCCGTGGTGCAGCTGCAGGAGGAGTGTTTGCCCCTGGGGCCTGGGCAGAAGGAACGCTCCACCTCGTCTGGGCAGAAACAGGCACTGTGGGGATTGGTGGCAGCTTCTGACGCCAGTTCACACCATCCTTCTCCAGTAGGGCTTTAGTCATCCTGGAAGAGACAGCTCCCAGTCACCCTGGCTGGGGCATGCAGTACCAGCCAGGTCACTTTTAACCTGTCTTGTGTATTAAGAAGAGCATCTCTCTGATTCCTTTACATGCATCTCAGCTAGGTTTGTTCTACAGACAGGACATTTGCAAAAATATTATCTTCACACCAGCAGGGCTAAAAACACAACAGGACACGGGCTGGGGCTGTGACTGCTCAGGTGAGCAAGAGCCATGCATTTCACTCCTTGGTCTGGCAAGCAGAGGGCACTAGAAAGAGAACACGACTAGAGCAGCCTGTAAACTTAGAGAGGCTTAAAGGATAGGGCACTGAACTTCAGTTCATTATTTCCTCTAAACCAGGCACTGAGCAGAGCAAAAACAGTCCCACAGCAATCACTCCCAGACCTCGACCAGCACCTCGAAAGGCACTAGCAGGCAGAGGGAGCACAGTCAGGCACCCGTGTGCCTGGGACCCAGCTTGGTCCTGCCAGGAATGAGCACGGCTGGAGCAGCAGCACCCAGCTGCGGGCACCGGGCACCGTTCCTCACCTGTTGACTCCATCGTGCGCCGCCTGCACGGAGCAGTCCACCTGCAGGGCCGTCTTGTAGTCCACGTAGGCCAGCGAGTACCTCTCCAGCGCCTCGTACGCCGCTGCCCGCCGCAGGAGGGGCTTGATCCCGAACGGGACCAGCTCCAGGGCGCTGCGGCGGAGCGGAGAGCGCCGTGAGCCAGCGCGCCCGGGCCGCGCCGCGCTCCGCCCGCCCCGGGACCACCGGCTCAGCGCTCCCCGCGGCCCCGCCGGGTGTCCCCGGCCCCGCCGGCTCACTCACCTGGTACAGTCGGCCACGCAGAGGCTGCAGGCACCGTCCTTGAGGTGGCAGGCGGCGCGGTTGGCCAGCAGCACGCTGCGCTCCTCGGCGCTGGCATCCCCTGCGCGGGGCACACGCGATTCAGAGGGGTGTCCCCGCTCGTCCGCCCCGAGCCCGCCCCGAGCCGTGCCCTACCCTACCTGCGGCTTCCAGCTGCGCCAGCGCCCGCGAGTAGAGCTCGGCGGCCGGGCCGTACTGCCCGCGGCGGAACTCCTCGTTGCCGGCCCGGCGCAGCGCACCGGGGGAGCCGGGAGACGCGGCCATCGCGCCGCCGCCGCCGCGCCCGGGAAGCCGCGCCCCTGCCGCCGGAGCCGGGGCGGGCGCTCCCCGCTGGCATCCGGCGGCGGGCGGAAGCGGCGGCCGAGCGGTGCCATGGAGCAGTGAGGGACGGAGCAGTGAGGGACGGAGCGGCTCGCCGACAGACCGCCATGGAGACGGTGCAGCTGCGGAACCCGCGCCGGTAAGCGCGGGGTGTGTCCCTGCCGGGAGCGGGGATGCTGCGGCCAGTGTCACCCCCTTGCTGGCGGCGCGGGGCCGGGAGCGGGGCTGCGGGCGCGCCGGGCTCCGGCCCCTTCGGTTCTCCGGAGCCGCGGGGCCGTGGGCAGCAGCCCCTGGCACCGGGCAGGTCCCTGCTGGGACAGCCCCGCACTCAGGTGCGGGAAAACGGCTGAAACCGGAACGCTGGGGAGACGGCACTGCCCGCGCTGCTGCGGGAGCTCCCGCCGGCTACCGCGGCTGTACGAGCCGTGCTGGCCCATGCCCGTGGGGTGACACTGCCCCGGTCACTTGTTCTCCCGTCGCGTCTCTCCTTGGGTGAGTTTTGTGCGGGTCTGTGCCCCCGGTGCCGTGTCCGGGAGCGGTGCCCAGCCCTGGCGCTACCGCCTTCCTCCGTGCCTGGGCACAGCGAGCACACCGGGGACACTGAGCGCGCCGGGCATACTGGCACACCGGGTACACCGACACACCGAGCATACCGGGCACACCGGACACACTAGGCACACCAGGGACAGCGGGCACAGCGAGCTCACCGGGCACACCGAGCTCACCGGGTACACCGAGCACACCGGGTACACCGGGCACACTGGGTACAGCGGGCACACCGGGCATATGAGCACACCGGGCACACTGAGCACACCGGGCACACCGAGCCCGGGCCCTCGGGGGTTTCGGGGCGACCCCCACTCGAAGCCGTGAGTCCGTATCTCGGGCTGCCGTGCCGGGCCGGGCTGCGGGGCAGGGCTGGGATGAAGTGTCAGTGTCCGAATCCTATCAGTACCTCGCAGCTGGGACCCGGGGACGCTCCGGCAGCGAACAAAGGAAGCGGCTGGCGCTGCTCCCCAGTGGCATTGGCCCCTTTGGTTAAACAGTGATGTATGTTCTGTTAAAAAACAAAACAAGCTTGGTTTTATTCTATAATTGCTTATGGGGCAGGTGATTAAGATTAGATCTGAATAACAACAGAGGTGAGATTGGGTTTGTGTTGCTGTTGCATCTGTGTGGTATAAACATCCAGGAGAAAGGCAGAGTGTGTCAGACAGCAGTGAGTGCACTCGGTGGAGCAGGACAATGCAAAGTAATTGGGCTCCTGGTCTGTAGTAGAAATTATGCTGTTTGCTGCAAGCACAGTAGTTGTCTGATTATTGTGTTTGGGTATATGAAAAGTCTTTTTTTTTCCTTTTTATGCTAGTAGAATTTAGGCCTCAACTTAAACAAGAAGGGTCTGCCTCTTGCGTCACCACAAGAGCCCATTCTGGGCTCCTTAAAAATGGTCTTATGTGTTTTCTGGTGCATGTGTTACCTGCTTTTCCCCTTTTCCCACAGCTTCTTCCCTCTCCGTTTTCACAGGGACAAGTAAATTCTGTTTAATGCTTATCTGAGCAGGGAAGCTAGCAGCTACTTTCAGTATTTCACCACTTCCTGAGTCTGCTTCAGGAAGCCATTGTATGTGCTCCATGCGTGAGCTGCTCCTCCCTTGTGGCTTTTGTACATAAACATAATAGCCAGGGGTCAATGAATGGTTTTTCATTCTATTTCTGAAGAAATTGGGTAAAAAAGTTACATATTTAGTATAAAAATTAGTATTCCTGCGACTGGAGTCCTGATCTTTAGCAGCAGCTCTAAGAGCTTTCAGGAGCAACTCGCGGTTGCAGGCAACTACACGTGTTTTACTTTAAACAGCAGCCAGTGCTAAAAACTCTGACTCTTTCAAGTTTCTGTGTTTGAAAAACTCAAATGAGCTGATTTAGGGAGTTTGTAGGGGGTTTTGTTGGCTGGTTTTTGTTTATTGTTGTTTCAGATTTTTTTAGTTCATGTGAAAATGAAAGAGCACTTGTTTGTGGGCTGTTGGATACTCTTACCACTGACGATAAAATACTGTTTTCAGACCTTTTTGTTATGTAGTCCTTAGCTGTTTCAGGAGGTCTGGTGAACAGCTCTCCAGTGCAGACTCAAACAAATATGATTGAGCTTCTTGTTGCTTTGTGTACGGCATCTCCCTAAAAGCTGTTCTGGGGGAAAGGGGGGCCACGTGAAGAACCACAGCACATGGCAGGTTTTTATTCCTAGAAATTATTTCAGCTGACTCTTATTAGCATTACTTTAAGAGGGATGGCATCAAGATCCTGAGAGTCAGATGCAGTTCCCTTTTACCTGATAGAATCTTCCTAGTAAATGTCCAGGCCCATGAAGTTAAGATCCGAAGTTCTGATGTTAAAAATGTCCAGGTGAGAGCAGTATTGCCTCCTGCCTCCCAACAAATGTACTCCACACATACTCTAAGCATCAGGGAAGATGATGTTCCCTTTTTTTGGTAGGTATCTTTCTATTCCAGATATTGAAATTCAGCAGATATGTTCAATGGCTTCAAGACTGTGCCATGCTGAGATGTGACCACCAGCATATAGATCCTGAAACTGATTTCTGCCAAGAGAAGCTGTGGATTTGTGTGCTCCCATTCTATTCTTTTTAATTCCCAGTCCTTTTTTGATATTGGATGCTAATAAGACTCGGTTTCCTCATCAGGTGAAATAAACTTACTTCGTAGTCAATTTACTTCATGCCAAATCTTTTGTATGTTTAAGTGGTGGTATTTATTCCTCTGTTTCAGCAGAGCCCAAACTGCCATAAAATTAAATGTAATAATTTCTGTCTCCTTACCCATACAGGCAGCTGAAGAAGTTAGATGAAGACAGTTTAACCAAACAGCCTGAAGAGGTATTTGATGTCCTGGAGAAGCTTGGAGAAGGGTATGTGTTGTGATCCAGTGGGCCCAGTGTACATTTCTCTAGGCAAACACATCTGTGTAACAGAGGAGTGTTCTGATGTTTCACTTTTGTCATGGTCCCGTTTCTGAAAGGTAGCTACTGACATAGTGACATTATTTGGTTAATAACAGAATAAAGAATTTGATTCCCAGGAGCTTAATCCAAATAGCAGGTTATGGGTCAGCAGTAGGGAGTTTAAAAGTTTGTGAAAAATCCCAGCCTGGAGTTGGTAGAGCCCTGTGGGAACTCAAAGATTTTGTAGTTCATGCCTGGTACATCTTGAGGAAAATCTGCCTGGTGGAAGTGAACTTGTGATGCTGTGCCCTTTGGTGAGGCAGAGCAGCATGGCAACACTCCAGGAGTGACGTGTTCACTGCCTGGAGCAGTGTGAAAAGACTGAGTGTAAATCTGCCTGGCTGCTGCAAGTAAAGAAGCTGGAAATAGGAGTGATAATATCTGACAGGAACAAGCAAACCTCTCTGACCAGAGCTGTAGTTCTTGCTGATGCTGATACTCTGTGCTGGAAAAAGAGAATTTTTAGGTATTGAATTTGTATGAAAGGCCATTCCAAAGCTACGGTCAGTGTAATGATGGTGTGCTCTTTCCTCTGACTAAGTTTGTTGGCTTATTTGTATTACAGTGTTTAAAAGTTAGTGGGCTGATTATTTACTTTAAAATACAAAATATTTTTAACAAAAGGATAGTTAATGTTTTACCTGATGGTTACACTCACAAAAAGCAAAACAATAACATTAATATTTTTAAAACCTTACTATATTCAGTGTTTGTTTCATGTTTTGTTTTCCAGTTCTTATGGCAGTGTATTCAAAGCCATCCATAAAGAAACGGGTCAAGTTGTTGCAATTAAACAAGTTCCTGTGGAATCTGACCTGCAAGAAATCATCAAGGAAATCTCCATAATGCAGCAATGTGACAGGTAAGTGTGTGCTTCAAAACATTTATTGGCATGCAAGGAAAAGCATCACCTCTGACCTGGCATTTAATCAAATTAGAGCCATGAGCTTGTGTAGGACCGTCGGCGGTAGGACAGTGGGGATGGATGGAGAGCAGAGATCTCTGCAGCCAGGGCTGGAACTTGGGGTTTATTGCAAAGGGCCTGGGGGCAGGGCCCTGCTGGGAGCTGCCAGACACAGCTCAGAGCAGGCTGAGAGAGGAGAGGGGGAGAGAGGATGAGAGAGTAAAAGGGTAAGAGAGCGAGCTTCCTGTTACAATACCATGAATCTTCTTCTGTGTTGAATATTCTGATTCTCACTAACCAATCTAGTACAATATACAAATCCTATAGCATCTACATACAGCCTATAAGAATCACTACATTACTATACTGTGTTACATTTTAAACCCTAAAAACTCCTCTTTGGGCCCCTTCTGCCAAGCTGGCAGGGTCTGCTCTGACCCTTGGGCCTGTCTGCAAGCAGAGGGTGTTGTTCCATCAAAAGGGGATTACCTTCAGCTGGCCACACCATTGTTTTCCCATTGTTCAGTAACTCGGGTATCTCAAAGCTTGCTTTCATTTCAATCTTGCTTATAGTTTCTATATTCTCAAAATCTTTTGCCAGACAATCATATTTATAAGGCTTTCCCGTTTCATCTTCCCCGACAATCTTGCCTTGGTGCTGCCTTCCCAGCAAGGCACAGAAAAGTGTCAGAAGGAGGTTTTTTGTTTCTGTTTTAAAGGGCACGTGGATGAGAGGCGCTAATGCATGGCTGCTCTTGCGTGTGCACAGCTCCGTGCTGTCACCTGCTCTTGTGGCAGGACTGTCCTTCCTGCTCCTGTCCTGCCTCTGCAGGCTCTGCTGCAGTGCAAGCTGATCTGAGCATCCCCTGAATAACCTGCTGGCAGCTCTGTGATGGTTGTTGTTCCCCTTTGTGCATGTTTTTATAGGAAGAGGTGCTGCAGTGATTTAGCCAGTGAAGAGCTTGTGGGTAGGGAAGACCCTCTCAAAGTGCAAGGCTGAAGGTTTTAAATACACACATTTCTTCTGGTGTTGTGAATCTGGCCTTAGGAAACACTACTTTGAAGGACTTCCTGTGTGGAAAGCCATTTAAAATAAATTACATGAGCAGTATAAAACTGTGGTCCCAGTCACGCTATTGCATTCCACTCTCACTGTAGTTAAAGGAAGATGACTTAGGGGCAGGCAGCAGAGTGTATCCTGAAAAGAAATTGTTCCTGAAAAATCTTACTGTGTAACTTGAAATGCATTACTACTTTCTCTTAAATTAAATATTAGTATTGTAAGGCCTAAAGTGAGACCTCAGAGTTGTGAACAGCAGAGGGAGTGAATCACTGGAGCATCACATTTTCTGTGCAAGCATTAAGGGGCACTGCAGTGTGACTGACCTGCTAGTTTTAAAGCTTTTTCATTAGAAAATGTTCAGAAGAAAATAAATTAAACACGCTTTTGTTCCTTAGCTTCATTCACATCAAATCAGGGACAGTCTTTCTGTTAGTTTTTGCTTTACCTTTTACAGAAGACACATGGTTTTTCTGAGCATTGTACTTTACTTGGTTTTTTCCTTCTTGGGCAGCCAGAAAGCTGACTGAGACAGTCTTAGGTTGTGCTGAGATCCTAAAATATATCCTGGACTAAATCAAAGAGACAAGTAGGTTCACGTGGTGGTGGGGGAACATTTGTCTTAATGAGCATGATAGTATTTTCCAGCAAAGTGTGGGCTTTATTTATTGTTTCTGTTTGTTTGCAAATGTTCTGCAGCACCTTTTCCAGGGGCTGCTGTGGCCTGTTTCCCATTCCCTGTCCTGCTGTAGCCTGGTTCAGACTGGAGGCTAATCAGCCCTTGTTTCCGTGGGATTTGTGGGACAGTTTAGCTCCCCGGAGTGACTTAGTGGCAGGTCATGTGAGCCCTGCTGTGGGAGCAGGCTTGGCAGGACTGGGGAGCCCTGTGCAGAATTCAGGGTGTTCTGGAATGCTTCTGCTCTGGGTTGGCACTTCAGCACTGAGTTTCTAAAACATACTCAGGGTCTCTGCAGTGTATTGTGCTTATTCAGTGATGCTGGTTCCTGGTGTCTGACTCTTTGTTTTATCCCCTCTTCTTTCCTAGTCCTCATGTGGTGAAATACTACGGCAGCTATTTCAAGAACACAGACCTGTGGATAGTCATGGAGTACTGTGGTGCTGGATCTGTGTCTGACATTATTCGGTTACGAAATAAAACTGTACGTGTGTCCTTTCTCCTTTGAGGGCAGGGGTGGGACTGTGTGTGCAGTATGAGTAGTTAGGGCGGAATTCTCAGTGTTCAGTGCCTGACACAACCATTGGCCATAACTTGAGAGATGCAGGTCCTTTGTTACTCTGAAAATGGCAAAATTGATTACACTGAGTTTTGGTTCTCTGGACAATTTAATTGGTGTGTTGGTTTTTTTGAAAACCCAGACTGATTCCAGGTAAGACCCTACTTTGCCTTACTTTGGTTATTTCAGGATAAGAATTACTAGCTGAGAAAAGGTTGTGGCATAGGAAATGTAGTAGTGTGTTTATGTATGCTGGTTGTGATCTAATTCTGCTACATAAGTCACTAACTAATTCCCCATTGGTATGGCAACATTTAGTGAAGGCAATTAAGTGGCAATTAGTGAATCTCAGTAAAATACAGACCAAAGCACAATAGTGCTGTGTCTCATCCACTGGTATTTGGCAGTAACTCTTCCCTTCTTCAGCTCACAGAGGAGGAAATTGCCACAATAGTGCAATCAACACTGAAAGGACTCGAGTACCTGCATTTTATGAGGAAAATACACAGGGACATCAAAGCTGGAAATATATTGCTAAATACAGAGGGACATGCTAAACTTGCTGATTTTGGAGTGGCAGGACAACTTACAGTAAGTAAAACCAGGGTGGCTGTGTACATTTCAGTTTATCTTTTTAATCTGTGTGTGTGATGGGAATGTGGAGCTGGATAAATTGTTCATAGATGGTTTTTAGCACTTTGCACCATGGGATGCTAAACCAGCAGCAGATTAGAGGAGATCTTCCTCTGTGGAAGCTGTTACAACTAAGTAATGGTTTGCAATAGCATTTGCTGCTTTTTTAGTATACTTTTAGGTTCTGTGAGCACATTTTAATTGATCTTTGCAGACTTCTGTATTCTGGTCTTGCTGAGTCTAATAATCTGCATGTGTGCAAGATAATTAGGGTGATAATTAATGATGATTAATCATTAATGACTGTTTATGGCTAATACAGTTGCTGTTGTCTGGATCTTTATCCTTTTCTCCTCAGGACACCATGGCAAAGCGGAACACAGTCATAGGGACCCCATTTTGGATGGCTCCAGAAGTGATTCAGGAAATTGGGTATAATTGTGTGGCAGACATCTGGTCCCTGGGAATCACTGCCATAGAAATGGCTGAAGGAAAGCCACCATATGCAGATATTCATCCCATGAGGGTAAGGACCATGGCCTTAAATGTATTGCTGTGTGGAAAAGGCTTGATATCATAGCTGGTTGAATCATGTATCAGCATGCCATCTTGTTTTTAATATGTAGAACAAGTTGTTTTCTGTCAGTTCTTTGTACTGTTGATTAAATTAAAAACGGGTCTTTGTCAAGAACAATCTGCATGGAAATAAAAAAAAATCACAGTTCTCTTCTGTTAAGACATAGCTGGTGCTCTGTGTTGGATGTGAAGGATATTTCCAGCTGGATTATCCAAAGTGAATTTTTTTTTTTTTTTTTAATACAAGCACAAATTTTAGAGACTGAAAAATGTCAGATTCACACTTTTGGGGCACATAATGGCTCTGCCAGATATGAGCACCTAGTGAGAAAAGTCTGTTTTCCTGCTGCTTGATCCCTGTGAGCAGATTTGCGTGAAATATTGGCACAAACTCCTCACAGGCAGCACCTGGAAAAATCCACTGTTCTTTAGTACCAGCATGTGTTTGGGTGTATTTATGTTGAATCGTTGGTTCTAAGCTTTGTTGTGGAAATCTGAAATACTCTCCTGCTTTCAGGCCATTTTCATGATTCCCACCAATCCTCCTCCAACGTTCCGGAAGCCGGAGCTGTGGTCGGACAATTTCACAGACTTTGTGAAGCAGTGTCTTGTGAAGAGCCCGGAGCAGAGAGCCACTGCAACACAGCTGCTGCAGGTCTGCTTTTCCTAGGAGAGCATAAACTCTGGGGGAGGCTGTGCTGTGTGGCTCTTGAGATGTTGGTTTCGTTTCTTGCTGCTCCTGCTCACTGCAGATTGTACTTTTTAGTAACTTGTTATAAAAATTTCACACTCAACTTCAACTTCTCAGTTCTTCTCTAAGAACCAGTCTGACTTCAACTTCCTCTGTCTTCTCTGGGGTGTTTTTGTTGTTTTGGCTTTCAGAGTTTGTTGTTGGTTTGCTGGTTTGGTTTGGTTTGGATTTGTTGTTTTACTTTTAAGTTCCCACCAGCTCTGCCAAGAAAGTGTCTCTTAAAACACAAAACAGGGCAGGCTGAGTGTAAGTGGTTACTCAGAATGTTCCAGGCATGGTAATGGTCTGTGTAATTGATTCTTGACAGCTAAGCAAGGAAAGAAGTAGAGCTGTGGGTGGTGAATGAGCCCAAGGTCTCACATCAGTTGTGCCCTTGGAGCTTGATCTTGTTTGGGGGGTGGAAGTTCTCCCTCCTGTGCCAAACAGAAGGACTGGGTAATTATTTTAGTAATGTTTCGAGTTAAACCTTAATTTGATTTGAAGTAGGCCATAGTAACAGTGTTTTACTGTTCTGTCCTGCTTTGGATGCAGTGCTTATTTGTTTTTAAAATATTTCTCAGCATCCATTTGTTAAAAGTGCCAAAGGAGTATCAATTCTGAGGGACCTGATTAATGAAGCAATGGACATCAAGCTGAAACGCCAAGAGGCCCAGCAGCGTGAGCTGGATCAGGAGGATGAAGAAAATTCAGTGAGTATTTAATAGCAGCAGTGTGCAAAGTCCAAACTCTCACTCCTTTCAAAGGGCTTAACTGCTTCAGGTTTTGTTTTTGCAATATTTTGTCCCATTGCCAGTGGATTTGACTTAGTTCTGGAGTTGTCTTCTTTATGAGTGTAACGTGGTGGTTGGTGCCTGCTCAAGCTGTATTTGAGTGGGACAGGCAGCATGAGTGGGGTCCTGTCCACCTTACAGTGTAGCTTGAGGCTGGGCTACAAAGTGCTGTATGCAGAAGACTTGATTAATTTTCCCAGTTGGATTATATTATATATGCAGTAGTGATAATGTTTTCATTGTAGATTGAGGTCTTAGACTGCTCTCCTTGTACAGAATAATAATATCATCTATGATGCACTGTGATACAAGTCTGTTGTGTTGTTTTACTGTTGTGCTTTAGAACATCCCTTATAGAAACTTTCTTCTGCACAAGAGCAACCGACAGAAGCCTGAGGTGAGGGCATGGGAAGTGTTCAGGGCTTGCTGTGGATCTCAGTTTGGCTCTCTGTTTCAGTGGTTACAGCATGTGGATTTGGGAAGCATGTTGAAAACTGGTTTTTGAGCCTCTGCCTGCTTCAGCCTGAGTAAACGAAATGGGCAGCACAAGGCATTGTGTGCCAGCCCTGCTCAGGGGTGACACTTGAGCAGCATGGTCCCTGGTGTCTGTGCTGAACACATTGTGCATCTGGTTTTGCACTCCAGGACTGGATATTTATTCAGTGTGGAAGTAACTTTATTGGTCACATTGCCATGATGTCAATTCTATGAGTACTGTCCCCACCCTGAGTTTTGTCTCTGCCATCCCTTCTTCCTTTCTGACTGATCTGGGGTCACAGAGGTGGTGTCTGTGTGGTGGAGTCGAGTCCTCTGTTGGTGTGTGTGTTCTCCTGAAGCTTCTCTACTCCGTGTCTGCCAGCAGAAAAGCTTCTCAAACACTTCCCAAGTGATGTGAAAACTTCTGATGCAGTCCTTTGCTAAATGATGTGTAGCTAACAAATTTATTACTTCCTCTCACCCACTCAACTCCACACAAAATTAATTCTCCTCTATTAGCATCTTGTGTCGTTTTCTCCTCTCTTGCTGTTGGCTTTGAGGTTGGAAAGTAAATTTTATAGACACTCTTGACACAACAAGTAAAATGCTGGGAACACCAGAACATGCAGAGGTGACTTCTCTCTCTCCATGACACTGAGATGGAATATTAGAGCTTGATGTGCCACATCTGTGTGTTTTCCTTCTAACACTAACACAGATCAGTAGAGCCATGGTCACACAAAGAATGTGAACTTCATCCTGAAAAACAGGAGCATCTCAGCTAAGCTGAGATGCCTAGAAACTCTACTGTAAATCTGGAAAGGGACGTCTGTTCCTGCAGTTGGATAGCTGGTCCACATTTTGAAGAAACCAGCTGGATTGTGGAAATCTTGGCCCAGTTCTTCATGAAGTCCAAGTCACAATCCACACTTAGTGAAGCACACACCACCTGATGGAGCTGCCATAACATAACTCTTTAGTTAACATAACTCTGCCAGGAAGTTGTTCTGCCAGAATTACTTTGAAGAGGTTGTGTTTTCCTACAGAATCAGTCTCCTAAGCCTTGGCAGCAGTAATTCCAACTTTTTTTATTAGTCCCTTTAAGTAAATGGAAAGATAAAAAGTAATTTTCATTGAAGAATGTTACCAAAGTTTGATCATTTGTTTGAATCCTTTTTAAAGATTTGTAAATGTAGTTAATTTTTTTTCAGTGCCCTTGAAGTTTATAATGAGTAAAACTGCCTAAATGTTAGAAATAGAAAGAAAAACAGGATGAGGGGCTTTTCTTTCCATGTTTCACAGACTCTCCAGACTTAGATCTGGTGACTCTCAGTGAGCTGTAAACTGGAGACAGAGGGTTAGGGTCAGCTCTCAGAATTGCCTGCATGAATAGAAACACTGGTGACTGATTGAGTGCTCTAATCTACTCTTACAGACACTTCACCAGCTCAGAAATGAGATACAACTTGCACTGAGAAGTTTCTGCTGATTATTTATCTGTTCTCTTACTTATCATGCTGGCAGAAAAGTATTCATTAGTTTTCATTACCTGTTTGGAGATGACAGGGAGAGAACAAAGTGCATAAACCAAACGTTGCTTCTATGTGTGTCTGTAAAATAACCCCTCTGAATTAGTGTGACTTAAACACAGCCATCCCTTCATGGCACTTCATCATTAAAATCTGTGTTTGTGGCATGTTTGAACAGGAGGAGGATGAGACAGATTCAGGCACCATGGTGAGGGCGAGTGGAGATGAAACTGGCACAATCAGAGCTGTGAACACCATGAGTGATGGAGCCAACACCATGATAGAGCACGATGGCACCCTGGAGTCCCAGCTGGGCACAATGGTCATCAACACCGAGGAGGAGGAGGAGGAGGGCACCATGAAAAGTGAGGAAACATCTCTGACTTCTAGAGAATATTGCTTAAAGGTTCATGTGGGCTGTGATATGTATTCCCAACCTGCTTGATATTTTTGGTTGATTAACGTGTCTTTTGGTTGTAGGGAGCCAAACTTTTAGGTCAGTGCTCTCTGAGAAACCTTCCTAGCTCCAAGTTTCAAGCCGTGGTATAGCTGAAGTGCAATTTCCACAGGCTTTTGTGTTAATCAAATAAGATCTGATTCTTGCTAGTAATTTGGGGTGGTTTTTTGTCACTTCTATTTTGCTGGTTTTGTATTTTTCACAGAATGTAGAGGGGGACTCTAACAAGAGGTTAATCACAACATGTGTGTTGCTTTAGGTGATGATCTGGCTGTAACCTGGCTCTGAAAGCAGTTAGTCTGTTTTAGGAGAGGTGCATTCAATGAAGAGACAGATTTATGAAATGACAGATACATTGAAGGGTTCATCACATCAGGACATGCAGTGGGAGGGGTTGGCATCTCTCTGGAGTGGTGCTCTTCTTTTGTGTCACTGCAGTCACTGAGGACAGCCCAGTGAGCTGTGTTGCTGTTTCAGACAATCCAGTTGAAATCCATGCTGCCCTAAAACAGGAAAGCTTACTAAAGCCACAACCCTTGTCAGAGGATGTGAGATTTAAAATTATGTGACTGACAGTCTTACACCTTGAGCTGAAAAAGGGTTGAAAATGTTTCTTTGATTAAAGAAACAGCAGGGAGAGCCTTCCTAGAAAAGTATGACTACAAGAAAAGGAATTTTTCTGTATTATGGGTTCTCAAACCATTCCCACTGGTTTGTTAAGCTCCCAGTCCTGAGGCAGAGGCAGTCAGGGATGACTCAATGGCCAGCCTGGATGTTTGTTTGCTCAAGGACTGGAGAAAGTGCTGACTGAGGGCTCAGCAGTGCTCAAGTATGATCACCACATGCAAGGCTTGTTCTTTTGGCTCTGGCACTGCTTCCAAAGGCTTCCTTTGCCATCTGGTATTGAGCCTTTAGCTGTTCTTCACAGGAGTTTGGAAGAAGCCTTTCCTCAGGAATATCTGTGCTGAAAGCTTCTTCCTTGTCAGGGCCCTTTGAAGCTTGTGAAACAATGCTGGGTTTGAGAGGGACATTTCAGCAGAATCCCTTTGAAGATTTTTCCAAACTTTGATAAACATCATTCAGCTCATTAAAACCCAGAGATGTCAGTCCATGTGGCAGCTTGGGGCAGCAAAGACATTGGTGTGGTGGGACAAGGTTGGTCTAGCAAGGAGATGGATGCAGCAAAAATGTCATCCAAAGAAAGGGACATTTCAGTGGTATTAAATAAACCTGGCGAAGCTGCAGTTTCTTTACTAACAACCAGCACTGATAGTTTCTCATCCTCAGTGTGTATTGTTCCATTTCATGGCTCACAATATCAGAGGTTTTGCTGTCTGGTGCTCCTGCACCGCCAGCACTGTGGAAGTGAAGCACCTCTTGAATTTATCCTCCATGTTTGACATGTGCTTATCTTCTCTCTATCTGTGAAAGGCTGCAGTGCTTGTGTCTCAAAAGCACCTGGAGCTGTGTGTGCAGTGGTGTTCAGAAGCTCGAGGAGATAGTTTTATATTATGGATGGATGGATGGATAGATAGATGGATAGATAGATAGACAGATAGATAGATAGCCAGCCAGCCTTTGATAGTCTCTCTTTATCAAGGTCACCCAGGTTTTGAGCAGAGTGAGTTTCAGGGCTGCAGCGATGCCTTTAGCACAGGGCAGCCTCTCCCCTCAAGAGGGAGCTCCACAACAAGCTCTGGCAGCTCCAGAGCCCCGGGACTGCAAAGTGCACATTTATTTTAAACCCTCCTTAGACTTCAGGCTCCTTAAGAGCTCCCTGCTCCTCAGCTGCTGCTGTGCAGGGTGCTCACAGCCAGGTGTGGCAGAGGTGCTGCAGCAGCCCCAGGGTGGTGGCTGGCACTGGGACACTTCCATGCCATGGGCTTCACACAGCAATGCCCACTCAGCCCATTTATTCTGCATTTTGCCTGCTTGTGCCTTCATTCCAGCAAATCTGATGTTAATGAAAATGATAACCTTATCTTAACACCCTTTTCTCCTCCTTTGGTGGTGTAACTCTGAAATACTGAGTGCACTTCTCAGCTTGTTTTGGGGATGCAAGGCAGTGTCTCTGAGCAGCTTGCCCTTTGTGAGGATTCCCTGCAGCTCCATTTTTCAGCTTGCCACTTACATATTCATAACATTCAGTTAAATGCATTTAGCCCTAAAGCTCATCAGCCTGCTGCAGAACCCTCTGGAGAATGTGCTTTTTTGTAATCTTAAATATAAATATAATAATGCTGTTTGAGAACAACTGAGTTTTAAGGAGCTTCATTGAATCATATTTTTAAAGGCACCTATAATTTTTTTTGGCAGTTTGTCTTATGACTCACGATAGAACCTATTTTTAAGTCAATAAAAAAACTTCTGGTTTGTTTTTTTACATGGCATTATAGCTTCCCTAGGTGTCCTGGGCTTTTTAACTGCAGATTTCTGAAGTTGTGTTCTAGCCCTTCTTTCTAATTAAAAAATATAAATCTGTGTCTTAACGAGATTTTTGTTTGGTTATATTTCTTTTTAATGTAAAAAGTGTGTAAAGTGTTGTATTTCAGTGTTTTACAGATAGGATTGTCTTAGAAATCTCTAGCAAACAACTTCCAATTGCCTTGAAAGTGCAAACAACTTCCAGTAGGCTTGAAAGTGATTCTTGCATAAATCAGTTTGTGACTTCTTAGGCTCAGAGGAATCTTAAATTCCAGTATTTTACAATAGAGGGGAAGTTTTGTTTTGCAGTCAATTGAGCTGTAATTGTGTTTGCTTAAATTCTTTCATTTGCTTGGCTTTATTCTGGGCACTCAATATAAATAGGCATCATTAAAAATGTCACTGTGACATTCTGTTACACATTGTGAAAGCACTCAAGTGATTGCCTGAGACTGCAGGTACTGAATTGTGCTGCGACACATTTTACTTCGAAATCGATTGCTGAAGGATTACTTATGGATTGCAGTTAAACTATTCCAGGAAAACTTTAAATGTAGCTGGAGAACTATAGATGAGCAATGATTTGTAATAACAGGCATTTCCATTGTGCTTGAGAGCTGGAATGATTTTTGGGCTGTTAATATGTCTGCAAATGTCCTTTTATAATTTTTTCTATGGGAGAATATATAGTGCTAGTAAACAGTGAAGCATTTTTTATTCTTTATGCTTTTACTCTTCCTTTTCCTGCTTTACTTGCTGTACTTGTTTAGATAGTGGAATCTTGGCATGGATTTGTCTCTTTGATTTAAAGAGTGGAACATAATTTTATAATAATGTTGCCTTCCTTGAACGCTGCAATACAATCAGATCCAAGTGAAATTGGATCTAGTTTGTCTAGTACTGTAGTCTGCCCTATTTTCTCTGTTAAAGTACATCTTGCTTGTTTAAGCATCAAATAATTGGTGAATTACACTTGAGAATGCAGAACTGCCAGCAGCAGTGTGAGTTGGGCTGTCTGGTGTTTGGGTTGAGATGATTGAGGAATCTGGAGACAGGGGAAGGATTGTGGATTTGGGGTTTTTGTTCATGTGGCACACATTCAGTACAGGGTCTGGTGCAGAAATACACCAGAAGCTTTAATAACACTGTTGTCTCTACCTTGATAATGAAATGTGCTGGTAAAAATTCTTTAGAATTTGTAAATGTTCAAAATAAAAAACTCCAGGCTTCATTCTTACACAGTTTGAGGTGGCTTGGGTTTTGTTGTGCTTTTACCATGCCCACACTGCTAAGCATGGTTGTGTCATTTTAAAAAAGTATTTCCCCTTTTGAGGGGGAATTGGGCTTCATTAGCAAATTAAATGAGCTAAGATGCAAACTTGGCAATTTCCTATTTGAAAAATGATTCAGAGTAAGCTTGTCATCTTGGTGGCTGTGTGAGACATCCAGTGGGTGACACTTAAACCTGAGCCAGAGAAATGTTTCTGCCAAGACTCAGGAAACATTTTTTCCCCGTGAATTAACCTGAGATTTTTCACATAAAGCAATGGCTGTAAAACCTGCAGTGTGAGCAGCAGGATGAGAATGGGTGGCAGAAGGATTATGTGATTGCATTAATACTGTAATTGACTAAAGTATTACTGATGTACAGCTGAGGTAGCTATAATATCATTAGTTGTCCAGAAAGGTGCAGTGGCACTTTATCCAAATTGCTCATGCAGCTACTGTGGAGAATAACTCCACATCTTGTCAGGATTTCCATCGTGTGTGTGTCAAAGATACTGACAAAGGTTCTTGTTTTGCCTCTGCTTTTCTCCATGGACAACAACAGCTCTTTGCAGCAGCTTCCCACTACTTAGTGTTATTGATGTCCAGTGGTGCAGTTCTGTGTTTAAAGCAAATCGGTCCCTTTAGTCATAATTGAACCATAAAACACTCCCAGCATTATAATGCATTTAAATAACGTGCTGCTTATACCAACTCCTACATTGATTAAATTGTTCTCGAGCTTTAAGAATCATCCTACTGCCACTCTTGGGGTGTGGAGAATACAAATCTGCACAGAGAAATGTTCCTGTTGCTTTTTGACTTTTAATAGCAGCCTTGCTGGCAAGCTGGTCATAAGCGGTGGACAGCAAAATTTGTTTTAGGAGTATTAAGCTGTGTGAACATGCAGACAGCATTTCTGAGAGATGGGAGGTGTTGTGTGCGCTGTCATTTTGTTGTGGGGTTTTTGTTGTGTGTTTTGTTTTTCTTTTTTGAACACTGGCCCTAGTAATTGAAATATTGGCTCTGTGCAGGCTGGAGAATGAGGGGAAGTTAATCCAGGATCTGAGGGGGATGCTTATCTCCCTTTGGTTGTTGTGCACATTTGACAAAGCTTCATTGCTAAGACAAAGTTAATTACCTGTTTATCTTGTCAGAGATACTGAAATTGGAGAAAGGATGTATGTGTTTAACAGAGCTATTTTTGCTGGTTTTAAC